AGACTCATATGTGCAAGCATCGTATTGTCTCCTTAGTATGAGAAGCTGAAAAAGTAAATAAGATATAAATATATATTAATTATGGACATAATGTCATGTCAGCCTTCCAAAGTTTTTTCTTCATTTTCAAAATTGTTTTAATAATTTCAAATCTTTTGGATTTTCATAGAAAATTGTTATCTTCAGGTGTTTCCCCTTAAAATGTTACTTGAAAATTTTAATTTCTCTGAAATGTTTTCTATATATAGGTCTTGTAAATTTTGTGGTGAGATTTATCACTGTTTTGTATTTTAATATTCTTATAACTGGTGTGTTTTGTTTTCATGTGTTACCATGAAGTTGCTTTTCAATAAATATTTTAAAAATTTAAAAAAACAAGGTACAGGGCCTTTTTGTGGTGTCTTAGGGATCTTAGGGCATTAAGAAGGATAAAACCAAGGACACTGAAGAGAGCTACAGGCGATGCAGCAACCTGATATTCGGGAGTACTAGTGCATCTGCAGGAGATAGGTTACAGGGCAGCATCCAATTAGCAGCAAGGAGAATTGAATAATGCTCTCGGATTGGCTGAAACTCCCACAAAAAAACTGCGAAGGGTGTTTGTAGTTTCCACAAAGTCCTGGGGGTTCTGTAAACAGTTGTTAGGTTCTAAGGAAAAATCCATAAACAAGTGTACCTATGAACTCTGAACCAGGACTTTGTGGGGGTATACAGTATAGCAATGTATTTTAAGCAACTTTTATCTGAAACAGAAAGTTTATTCTTTTTTTCTACATATATTTGTGTGTGTGTGTATGTTTTTCTCTTTTAAAACTTCTACTACTGCTCAGTTGAGAATGTAGCACAGTGGTACAGTGCTTGCCAGCAGAAGGCCCTGGATTCTATTCCCAGTCTTGGGATAGGATAGGATAGGCTAGGATAGGCTAGGCGAGGCTAGAATAGGATAGGATAGGATAAGAAGATAAGATAGCAGTGAGGTGTTAAATAGTCAAGCAGAAATTTCATTTAAAACAAAACTCACGTCCTTCACTTCCCTATACTTTGATAATGTCCTTACAGATTACTTGTTTTATATTATATATCAACTAACATATATTTAAAGATAATTTTTTATACTTTCATCTTTTAATTTCTATGGTGGAATTAAAGCTAATTTATATAACTTTTCCCTTGTAGATCTTTAGTGTCATCTTAATGACAGAAAAGCCCTCAGTTTTAGTAGGAGCCAGATCTGTAGCATTCCAGTATCACCTGAATTGACTGCAACTGGTGATCAACAATTTTAGTCATTCATTGGCATGCTTTAAACATTTCAGGATTTAGTATTGTAAACTATCATACTGTATTTCAGTGCTTGTTGTCTTTTGGATATGAATAATGAACAGAATGTAGGTTAGTTAAATTGATCCAAATTCATACATTTAAATAATGCTTTTGAGTGTCGAGGACATGGACTTAATCCAGTGCATTAAACATTAGCTGAGAAATAGTCTTGTTGAACGGATTGATGTGCAGAGTCAATGTGGAAGAGTGGTGAAAGTCTGTGTCTGCATGCTGGAGATCCAGTCAGAAGTCAAAGGCCTGGAGCTCACTGTAGAGTCCCATACAAGTCCATATCAGGAAGCTGAAGCAGCTGCCTTGTAAGGCAGAAGAGTCTGCTCTGGAAGCCTGGAGACCTTCAGGTGAGGGCAAAGATTAGGTCTCCTCCAGAGAAGCGGCAGCGAGACTTCCTTCTTCTTTCCCTTCCTATTCCTTCCAGTCTGCAAGCCTGCTGGTGCCACCCACACGCACAGTGGGTCTTCCCTCCTTATTAAATTTTTCAGTCACACTTAGAACTATGCTGAGCCAATCAGCTGGGAAGCAGTTAACTATGCCACAACTCTATCTAACAGCAGTGAGTTGCTGTCCTGCATTTCACTTCCTCAAAAGCATGCATATATTTAATAGCTACATATACATACACATACCTATATGTATGTATATATGTAAGCATATAGAATTCAATACTTCATTGTTATTGTACACATTTATTTCTTAGAATAATAAAATAAAGTTTTTATTTTACTTTCACTTTCTCCTCCATTAATCTTTAGGTCTGACTTTCTGACCTAAATTGTTTTCCCTCTTTTTAAAGAACAATTAGAATGTATTAAAGGAAGGTCTAATATCAGTAGTGTCCCTCTGTTTTTACTGGCTTGGGGAAGTGTTTCTCCTTCACTTTTAAAGGATAATTTGACAGGATATAGAGACCTGGGTTGGTGGTGTTTTTCTTGGAATAATTTAAATATTTCACTCTTGTCTTCACACTCTTGTGAGAAGTCAGACGTAATTGCTATCTTTGTCCCTCTGTAGATAAGTTTGCCCCACCTTCCTCCTGCCTCCTTTCAAGATTTTTCTTTGTCTTTAATTTTTATAGTTTGAGTATGATATGCTGAGGTATAATGTTTTATTTGTTTAGCATTTATGCTGTTTGATTTTATGCTGTTTAGTTTTCATGGAAAAGCAGTTTAGTGTGGACTATTAATTTGGGGCAATTCTCAGTTATTCCTTGAAATGCTTCCTGTGTTCCTTTCACTTTTCTGTTGCTGGTATTGCATGTTACATCTTTAGTAGTGTTCCCACACTTTTTGGATATTCTGTTCCATTTGTTTGGTCCTTGTTTTTCTCTTTGCTTTTCATTGTTGGAGGTTTCCATTGACACCTCAAACGGGAGGTTTTCTCCTTTGATGTGTCCAATCTGTTATTAGCTTATGGAAGGCATTCTTCAGTTCTTTCAGTGGTTTTATCTGTAGTGTTTCCTTGATTCTTTTTTGAGAATTTTTGCTTCTGTTTACATTATTCAGCTGTTTTTACGTGTTATCTATGCTTCTATTAGAGCTCTTACGTATATATTGTAGTTTTAAAAATGCCTGATGTGATATTTCTACTATTCCTGCTGTTTAACTGTAGTTCTGTTTGCTCAGTTTCTTCAAACTGATTTTTTTTTTTTTTTTTGATGGTGCTGAAGATCAAACCTTCAGACTGTGTTTTCTGCTGTTTTCAACATGCTTTGTAATTTTTTCTTACCAGCCAGAAATGATGTCCTGGGTGACAGAACTGTAGTAAACAGGCCTTGAGTGGATGAGGTTGGTAAGTAGGGAGGAGGCAGGCTGTCTAGTCCATGGTGAGGTCTCCTAGTGTGCTTTGCTCTTGCACTGAGAACTTCCCAAGCGCTTCTGTTTTTTCCCTCCTGAGGTGGGAAAGGATGACTAGGAAGGGTTTGAGTTGTGTATTACTTTCTTCCAGTCAGTTGAGTTCTGATAGAAGCCCAGTGGGTTGGCTGTGATTGAGAACACAGTGCTGGCTGGGAGTGGTGGCCTGTGTCTGTCATCCCAATACTCCAGGAGGCTGAGGCAGCAGGATCATAAGTGACTTAGAGTGTGCCTCAAAATAAAAAGTAAAAATGAGCTGGGGTGTAGTTCAGTGTAAAGGCCTTAGGTTCAATCCCAAGTGAGTGCTTTGGCTTATCTCAGAGGAGTTACCGTCCAAATCCCTTGCAGGAAGGACGAGCGGATTTTTCTTGGTTCTGTGAGACCTGGGAGCTAAAACTCACAGATTCCGAGACCTCCCACAGCAGGGAGTTTGTAACTCTCAGACTCCTCCCCTGAGCCTCCAGCAAAGTATGAATTACAGTTGGCCCAGGTTTCTTTGTTCCTGTGGGGAGGTCTTTGCTGGGAGGGTTCTCTCCTCCGTGAGTGGTGATTCTGGATCTGCCTGGCTGTCTCTCCTCCAGTTTTGGGTGCAGCAGATAGCCCTATGACCATGCTTTCTCATGGATCTAAGAAGAGTTGGTTTATCAGTTTTTCAGCTATTTCTTATTAGGATAGATTGGCAACTTCCAAGGATCTTATAATGCCAAAATGGTCCTTTCTGTTTGTTTTCCAGAGAACTTAAATTGTTCCTTGTTTTATCCTTTTATAACATATCCTTTCATTTTTTTCTAGTATTTTTACTGAGACTGGCAAGGCTTTATTTCTGGGTGCCAAGATGTAAATTGTACTGTATCTAAATCATATCAGGCAAACCAATCCCCCGTTTTTCTTCTTTCTTTTTGTAGTGCTGAGGATTGAGCTGAGGGATGCTTTATCACTGAAGTATGTCGCCATCATTTTTATTTTTAATTTTGAGACAGGGTCTGGGTAAGTTGCCCAAGCTGGCTGTGAATGTGCAATCCTCCTGCCTCAGCCTCTTGAGTAACTGGGATTACAGGTATGTGCCACCATGCCCAGCAAACTGAACTTTTAAACAGGTTTCTTTAAGTCAGCTGGATCTGGCAACTTGGAATTAGCTGCCAGCAAGGACCATTCTGCTAGTCATGTCTGCTTTTCTTTGACTAGGAGAGCATTTACTCTACCTTGAGCATGGGGAATTCAGTTTATGCGTATTTCTGCCAAAGTGGCTAGGACACAGTACACTGAGTTGTACTGTGCTTCACAGCCTCGTTAGCTCCTGAAGGGTAAGGGTTCTTGCTTTATTCTGTGCTTAGTGCATACCACACACTTGCCTTTTAAGTGTGAGATGATAGACCTCACTTACAGAGTGATGATGTAGAAATTGCTCATTTAATAACCTTGATATGTTTCATTTCTTAACTTACGTACATATCTTTTTTTTGGAATTTGTGTTTTCACATCACAGGCAATAGAGCTATCTGGGATGTTTTGTGCAGTACCCAACCCAGGTCTTGCGAGTATGTTCCCATTGCTTGCAAATAGACAGAGTGATAAATATTGTTTATGAAATTGTATCCTAGGGACTCATTATATTTGATGTATTTCCCTTTCCTCAAATACCATTTAATTACATGTCAATGTGTGTAGATCAGAGGGACTAGAAATTTAAGAGTATAATGCTCTACCTTAGATGATGGAACTCTTCCAGGCCTAAGTCAGATTTTGTTAAAAGTCAGATTCCTATGGGGTTAATATAGTTTAACTTATATTGCATTTTGTGTTTTGCAGATTGTTCTCTCTGTATAAGAAAATTTCTGTCATATAAAACTCAGTGTCCAACTTGTTTTGTGGTGAGTTTTTATTTCTACTTTTTTAACTTTGGCAAATATTTGTGCTTCATGCATACTCAAAAGCACATGGGAAGATGAGTAGTTATTGAGTTAAAGTCTGTAAAAGACATTTTCAGAAAGGACCTCTAACGTACATGTAAGACTTTGTTCAATTTCTCATGCTTTCTGATAACTTAAATGTATTTGAGGAAGTAAAAGCTAGTTTTAAGATTAGGGTGTAGTGTTCTTTACTATAAACTGTATTTTTATGGCTCTATTTTTAAAAATAATTTTTCACTTTTTGGGGAAACTGCTCATTGGATTATTCATTTGCAAAGGACTAGTGTAAGTATTTATGCAGAAGGCAAAGATTCATGGCCATTGGGCTGAAACCAGCCTAACTGGTCCTTTATCTCTTTCTCAAACCAGTCAGGGACAACACTAGGGCATTTGTTGTTAAGGGTTTTAAAACTGTACTGTAATGAGAACTGTTGAGAAGGTAAGATTGGTAGGAATCAAACACAAGTGAGAATAAAGAAAAAAGAGTCATAGAAAGGACACTGGAACTAGATAAAGGTTTGACTAACTTGTCCCCTCTAGTAGGTTCATTGTATCAGGATATCACTGAACTGTTCTGAACGCTTGTGCTGTGCAGGAAATGGTGCAGTTTGGCTCCCAGGCTCCCAGGTCTGAGGTCTTTACCACTGTGCTGCACATCTTTGCTGAAATGGCCTTGTTATGGAGACGTATAATATTCGTGCTAAATAAGTGCTGGATTTAGCATTTTGTCTTGCTGAAAACCAGTCATATTTTTTTAAACTTTCTTTGAAAACTTTATGGCTTTCTTAGTTTATTACTTAAAAGAGCGTCTCTCTTATCCTTGCAAGACAAATTTTTGGGCGAGCTGAGTGCTGGCATTTTGAAGAAAAATTCTTGCTCATATTAGGTTTTATATTAGTGCAGAGTAAATAATACATGATTTTAACAGGTGGTTTTGAGAGTTCCTATCAGACTTGCAGTTAGCAGGTGGCGATTCACTCTTAATATCCTGTGTTAGTATGAGACAAATGAACTTTATTTTGAGGCTTTCCTGGAAGACTTAGTTGTATGGAAAGTCTCAAGAGAATGGGTCAGGCATTTTCAAAAACAAGATTATGACAAATTAATTACTGTTTTTGACCTTCTTCCATCTGCTGTTTTTCTTTTCTAGACAGTCACAGAGCCAGATCTGAAAAATAACCGCCTATTAGATGAACTGGTAAAAAGCTTGAAACTTGCACGGTATGATTTAATTTTGTGACTAACCTCTAACAACTTTTGCTTTTTTATGTGTCCTCTCTCTGTGTTCTTTTTAGTTAGGGAATACGGGGTTCCATATTTTGGGATAAAAGAAGTGACAATGGTCATTATTCAGACGTGGAAATCTGAAACATAGTAATGACTTTTTTCTTTTATTTAACAAAAATTCTGTTAAGGAAGAACAATTAAGAGTTAAAAATGCAGATTTAATGACTTCCTTATTTGGCAATATAAAGATACTATACTTGTCATTTATCTTGTACTTTTTTTTTTTTTGCTCTAGTCCTAGAGTCAGCCATGTCTCTTTGGAGTCCTGGTTTTTATTTTATTGGAGAATGGTATTTAGAAGCGAGAACCTGCTGTGGTTATTGTCCCTGGGGTGTCACTGCTTCTAGGTCCTCTCAGCAAAAGAACTGGGTTGGGAGATGCATGGATGAATATGTGTGTTCTAATCCATGTACACACAGTTACCTATAGTTGGTTCCATTAGCTATGTATTAACGCATTAATTCTTAAACTGATTTACTGTGCATGTATAACATGATGTACTGTGTGAAATACATAATTACTTTTACTTTATAAAGCTCTGATGTGTAGCTTTACTTCCTGTCAAATGCATGAATGTGTGAAAACAAGTTTGGTCACCCAAAGGGATATAAAAGATAACGAACAGTAAAAGGGATGTAAAAGTTTAATGAATAGTATCTTGAATTATTTTTAGTTTTAGTTATATAAATCAAAGTAATTTTTATTAAGAACACAGTGTGTTTATATAATGGTCAGGTGCCATTGTGTTAGGTATATCACTTTCTGGCTCATGGGGAACATTCTTGGGGGTACTTCATATTATTTTGAAAAATGTACATGGATTTCTTCCTATAGAATTGCACATTTATTTATAGATTTGTATCCTAAAAGTGATCAAATTTTGTCCTCTGAACTCATAAAATTTAATTCTAGAATTTAAACATTCTAGTATTTGGCCTGTTATTTCCTTAAGTAAGGTTACATGAAGATGGTATGCTTTTCTAGATTAAGAAACTCTGAGATTCTTGGCTTGCCTTAATTATTTTCTGATTGTGAAGTTCTTCCACAGTGAGTTTTCAGATGGGCAAATGCAGTCTGATTCTTGTGATGACAGTTACTGCTTTTCTCACCATAAGCCCTTCAGCAGTGACTTTTGAAGTCTCTAAGAGGATAGAGCCCTGTCTCTAAGAACCGTCTATAGGCTGTTTGAGTTTTTCCAAGACAGTAAAACTTCAAAGCTTTTTTGTCTTTCTTCAGCTGGTACTGAAAGCATAACAGCCTTCCTGCTAGCCAAGAGGAAGCAGGGACAGTTGAGGCATCTGTTTTTTGAAACAAATGCTCAGCATTGTTAGGCTCCTAGACCTTTTGGTGACTTAGAAGGAGGCCTTGGAATGGTTGTCTTCTCCTTTTTTCCTTCCCTTCCCCTCCCAAAGAATAAGCTGTTTTGTTATTTGTTACAGGGGGTGTGGTGGGATAGAAGCATTTTTTTGTAGGTTTAGGATGGATTTTATCATTTGTTTCTCTCTGTATTGGGCTTGTTGGAATTAGCATTCTTATTATCATCCTTGTGCTGAACCAGCTCTTGGACATTCATCATATACAAAATGCTGGGCAAAATTAATAGGGAGGAAATTGAAACTAATCCAGTATTATTACTTGTGTGAACTCTGGTTTAGGATGCAAGGAGAAAGTATAATCTTATGACTAAAATGTAAGGTAATTTATATTTTTTACATTTTTTTCTGTCCCACCTGTGCTTATCATCTTAAGTGCCATTCTGATTTTTAAAAATTTAATATTCTAAATTAAGCAATAAGATTATGGGAAATAGTTTCAGAAGTTTTCAGGTACAGAGCTGATACGTAACTTTTATATTTTCTTCTGACCTTTGCCTTTTATTTTCAAAGAACAAGTATTTTTTTCCTTAACACAGTTTTATGTAAAATAATGTTCTTTAGGAACTGGTTGTGTTGAACATTGAGTCAGGTCTTGTGCTGCCCAGGCTGGCTCTCACTTCTGCTCTTGAGTATTCTTTCCCTCCAGCCTCTCTAGTAGGTGAAACTACAGGGACGTGTCTGTAAGTGGAACATCCTTCTTCCTTCAAGGAGGAACATATTGTTTCTATTTTTGCATAGCAGCCATGCTTCATCTGTATCATTATTACTATTATTTTGGTTTTTTGAGATAGGGTCTTGCTATGTAGTTAAGATGGCCTTGAACTCACTATTAGCCTAGGCTAGCTTCAAACTTGTGGCAATCCTCCTGCCTCAGCCTCCCCAGTACTAGGATTATAAGTGTGTGTACCGTCATGCCAAGCTATATGCTACATTATTATTTTTATAAGTCACTTCGGTTTAGCTACCATCATTATGAGTTTTCCCCAATTTTAAGAATTTAAGCATTTTAGATAATAATTGTTATAGGTAATTCCCTTAGCATCTCACAAAGAGAACATAGAATATAATTTCACCTATACTTGTGATTGTGATTAGTTTAAAGCATACTGGCCTTGAACTGAGGCAGATTTGGGCTCTTGGCTTTACTAATTCTGATGTGATAGTGATCATGATATTTAACTTTTTTGGCCTCTGTTTCTGCATCTGAAAAAAATGGGAATGGTATTATTAATAGGATTATTGTAAGGATTAGAAATAAAATCTATAAGATATTCAGGGCAGTGCCTGGGACAAAGAAATAAAGAAGAATTGTGTTGTTATTACTCTGTATTTGCCTCCGTTTAGTAGTGTGTGGCCCTCTTGTGCATTGGTGCCTAGGGAGCTAATAATGTGTGCTTTGCTGAGCCTCTGCCTTTTTAGCCCAAGGGCTCTGCACTGGTACTTGCATGTTTCAGATCAGAACAAACATTGCAGGGACTTTGGTTACAGAGATAACTCAATTAATTAATGATTAATGATTTAATGACTGCCTGTTTTTGCCCAAAGGCCTATTTTAACTCTGGATTTTTACCTGCATTCTAGGGAGGTCAAGTTATTTGTATAGTAAACAACTAGACAGGACTTTTATATTCTTTTTTGAGTCATAGTTACTTATTCAGAACAAGAAACCATTGGGAGGGAAGTTCATTGGGCTGCATGTTTGAGTATCTGGGATCTGAGTATTCTTCCCAACTAGCTGGATCCTTTTGAGAAGGTCAGTGAAACTCTTTGGAACTTTATTTGCCATTTATAGAAATGAGTGTATTAATTTATCTTTGAGACTCTTTCCAGCACTAAGGTATCAGAGAACCTATGGTGAGTACTATTAGTCATGGCAATACCAACTCACTTTGATGTAATAAGGGTGATGAGAAGGGAAAATTACTAGTTCAGTTTAAGTATAAGTATTAATTTGGGAATTAATATTTTTACCTAGCTCATTTTAGGTATATGAATTTTAAAATATCTCCTGGTTTTATATAGCTTTGCTACATTCATGGCTTCCATTTAAATCTTCAGCCAGATTTCTTCCCAAAACTTAAGACTCATGTCCACCTGCTTATTTTACATCTCTTCTTGGACCTCTGAAGAACAGCTGTTGTTTAACATGTCCAGAAGGAAACTGGTTCCTTATGCTGCCCCTTCCCTGTGCATCCTGCTGCTCCCTAGGCTTCCTTAGTGCCCTGGTTGGCTCCCTTCCTTGGTTATGCAGCATAGAGGTTTCTAGCCCACTGGATTCTTCCCCTTTATAATACACGGTCTGCTGATTCTTTAGCCACTCTTGTGGGCTGCATCTTGAGAATACTTCTGGAATATGGCTGCTTTGCATCTCTTTAGTGGTATCATCCAGAATGTGGTCCAAGTCCATGCCAGCCTCCATGACTGCACTCACTTCCTCCTGGTCTACTTATTTCTGCTTCTGCCCTCTTACAGTCCTCTCAGCCAGAACAAACCCTGTAATGTAAAAAGTCAGATCATGCTTGAAACTATTCAGCGGTGGCTCCAGAATAGACAGCTTTATGTTACTACAACGAAATTCCTGAGGCACTTAACTTTATAAAGAGAAAAGGTTAGTTGGGTCCAATAGTGCATTCCTATAATGCCAGCATTCTGGGAGGCTGAAGCATGGGGATCACAAGTTCAAGCCTAGCCTTGGCAACTTAGTGACTTTGTGAAGCCCTGTCTCAAAATGAAAAATAAAAATAAAGTAGCTTAGTGCAAAGGCCCTAGATTCAGGGAGTGTGTGTCTATGGGGGAGGGGAGAGGAAAAAAAAAAAAACAGGAGAAAAAATTTATTTCTGGAAGTTCCTGTCCAAGGTGGATTGATTCAGGCCTCTAGTGAGGGCAGAGCATCATGGTGGGTGTGCATATTGGAGTGAGCGCGTATTGGAGCCAGGAAGCAGGACTAGAGAACACAGGCCTATGGCTTCTTTTGAGGGTACACCCTAGTGACCTAGGATGTCCCACTAGGCCTTACTTCTTATAGGTGCACAACACCTCCCACTGCCATCACTGTGGATACCAAACCCGTAATCCCTGGGTCTTTGGGATTAACTTAACATCAGACTGTAGCTCTGCCCATCCTGTTGGGAACAGAAGCCTAGGGCCTCTCCATGGCTGTCCTCTGACCTCTGTGTAACCTTACTCTCCTGTCTCACCCGTGCTTGTTCACACCGTGAGGTATAGTGTCAAAAAAATAATGAACCTATTTGTAGGTCATGGGAGCCACACTGTGGCTCTGGACTTTATGCTTGCTGTTACTTGTAGGAGAACTGTATCTTACCAGATGGCCCCACAGTTTAGCCCTCCATTTTTCTGACCTCTGTTTCATGGGCCACGCTCAGTGAGCTCTTCTATGACCATCTTGTTGAGAATATACAGGTCAGCTCCTCCTCAGACATGGTTTCATTTTTAAACAATTTTTTTTTCATACAAGGCCTTGAACTCACTGTGCTGGGATTACAGATGCCATTTTTTTGTTTGTTTGTTTTGATTTTTTTTTTTTTTTTGGTACCGGAA